ATCATTCAATTTCTACTCAAAAGAAATTATATTTGACTCATGTTAAATGCTCTTTTCATTAAACATAAAAGTTTACTTATTCTGCAGCCCAGGCGGGATAGCGGTTAGGGACGCTGACTGCCGGAGGGCCACGTTCGAATCCCGGAGAAAGCATGGATGTTGGTGAATGTATAGTGTCTGTGCGGCATGGGAGACACATGCGGTTATCCGAAAGTCCTCTGGCAGGGGAAGAAGAGTATTAGACTCTCGGACCTGGGGCGGAACTGAGTAAAGTCAAAGCTCTAGCCAACGACAGGTGCTATCTTGACTCCTTGCCACGATGAATTTCATGGGCTTGCTCTTCGATATCAGAGACTAGATCTGATGTTACTGTCAAACGAGTGGGATCCACAAAAAAAGAAAAAAGAAAAAAAAAAAAAAAAGCTTATTCTTGTTCGAGATAGTACATCTCACTTCATGTGAACTTTTCGTTGAAATGCAACTCGCAACAAGTTTTTGTTTCACATTTTTACAGTCTTCACAAATATTAGTTTGACATCTCGTGATAAAACGATACAAAATGCAATCTGACTTATAATCACTGGAGGCTTCCATTTCTCTGTACCTACGCACAAGAGAACCTGCTTTCTTAGAAGGTCTAAGAAATATTCTGACTTACTGAGTTCTTGAGAAACCTCTCGCATACCTATTCCGTTTCGTCATTACTGGAGAAGTTTCTTGCATGTCTTCAATTTTAATCTGCCTTCCCATTTTTCGAGTTATTAATAGCGCAGATGTGGTACATCAATTTTTGTAACCCTTCGTTCGCATATTAAAAATAGCATAAAATATAAAGCAACGAAATCTGCATTTACAGACAAGCAGAAATTCTCGAATCGTATTTAAATCGAGTTTCGTTGAAAGTCACAGTGTAAAATACTTTGCTCAGAAAATAGATGTTTTTTCCAAATGCAAAGGATTTCGTATTTTCTTAGCGTTTGTAAGTAGTGTGCGAGGTATGCGTTAATTGCCTGCCAGCGGGTTATTTTCCCTAATGTGACTTGATTTCAAATATTTCCTTGCAAATTTTGTTAAACAAGTCTCAGGAAAAACAAAAACCTTTTACTGACACAAAAAGCTTCGGAAATATATCAATAGAAAAAAATTCGAGGGCAGACATGTTTGGGTGGAAGTTTATATAAGTTCAAAATTTGGTGGAACCTCTCAACCGGAATAGTGATTAGCGATGTTGACTGCCGTACCGAAAGGCTTAGGCTCGAATTCCTAGAGAAGGCATAGATGTTTGTAAATGTACAGTGTCTATGTTGAATAAGAGCGCTCTAAATATGCGACAAGACGAAAGTCATCTCTAGAGCTTGGTATTAGAAGGAGAGGAGCGGGAGACGCGCGGACCCGTCCTCACCGGTGTGCGCTCTCTCAAAATTGTGAGCGGAACCAACCTGAAACCGGGCTGTCATCTATATGATGTACAAGGCCCTTGCCAAAGACAGGCGCATTTGACTCCTTGCCACCATGAATGCTGTGGGTTGTGCTGATCTTTATCAGGCAAGGGAGATTGGTAATAACAACAAGTTTGGTGGGGCTAGATGCCGATGTTTTTCCATAATGCGAGGAACATACATTTACATACACATACATACAAACCCGATTCTTCATTATTTAGTAATAGAGATCGAGATAACTTAAGCCTTGTACTGAACTGCATGCATAATGCATTTGTGTAATTAAATATGAAATGAACCCCCATCAGTGGTTGAGATCACTGAGTGCTGATAGTTCGATCTGGGTTCGATTAATTTTTTCATCACATGTAACATGAAGGCTAGAGAGTTCCTTTTAGAAAGCTCTCCACGAAGGCATTCCTCGCCTCATGAGATTTGCCATATTCGCATGACCTAACCTCAGTATAAAATACCTAATTCTTATTACTTTGTAAATGCAGACAAAATTAGCAATAGAAACATTTTTTGTTCTTTGAATAAAATGTTCAGCAGGTCATTTTCAGTTTTGATAAAATCGTGTCCGCGATGACTTTGTTGCCAATTGACGTTGAATTAGATTTTTTATTTATCTTAAGGTATAAAAATGCTTAATTAATTATAAATGGTTTGCTCCATAGAGAATACGCTAATCATTAAAAAAAAATCCTTGTTCCACAAACTCTTTACAATATTTGCAGCAAGTGTTATTAATTTTTATTTAAGTTTGTTTTAAAATTCAAAAAGTCTCCTTTTCTTTTACTATATTTAACGAAAGCAGCAATTAACCAAAGAAGTTACTTACATAAAAAAAACGCATAGTTATGAATGTCATAAATTTCTTACACTCTGCAATACATGGAAAGCAAAATTTCTATTATCTGCATCTAAAATAAAATCTAACGTTTTTGATGCAATTTTGAAGTCCTTTGTTCTCTCCAGACCTAGATATTATGTTTTTATTGTTGAATTGTATCCCCTTGTATTGTGAGTTATTTACATCTATAGGCCTCGAGGAATATTTCGTGGAACAGGAGGTGTTTTGTATTTGCTTTTACTCGTAATTTTGTAAAACAAAAAATGTAAATTGTAAGCACCTTTAATGCCCTATTTAATTTTACTTACATCGGAGATCATCATTTGTTAAGTGGTGTTCCACTCGAAGGCCTTTACCACTACATGTTTATTATGCCCCTAAGGACCTGTAAAAGTTCGTTAAATTCCATACAATTGAAAAAATCCTGTGCAAAGTCTTCAGTAGTAAAAGTGCAAAGTCTTCAGTAGTGAAGAAGTTGATCAGGGGTGGCGCCAATCGGCCACGAATGAAGTTTTCGTTGAATAAGCAATAATAGCAATTATATATCGTCAGGCATAACTTAGGCACATATTTTCGCAATGGCATATGTTGTAGATTTGACACAGTATCGTACAGTAAAAATAGAAAATAATATATACTATATACTAGTCCCTAAAATTTTTGTGTTCTCGTCTGAGGCGAAAGTATCTGTATCTTAATAATCATAGGGAAGTAGACTGTCACGTGATATACGAATTTAATGATGATAAAGTCAGTAGCCTTGGTAGTTAGTCAGTAGCAGGTAAGTTAGAATTAAAACTTATTATTTACTTGCTTTAAGTATTTTTAAAAAAAATTTTTATTTAGTATCTAAGTATTTTCTAAATATGAAATTATATTTTTAAATATATATTTATTTAAAAAATTGTGAATTAGTTCTTTTTATTACTTTTTTGTTCTTATTATTAGTTTATATGGATATTATAGTTCTTTTATAGTTTCTTTTTTTTGATATGCATATTCGTAGGGAAAGTTTCTGTAGACAAGGATTTCTAAAATACATTGTTTAATAATTTTTAAAATTTTTTAAAATTAATTTTTTAAAAATTCCTTGACTACTTCTTGCTTGTTTCTCAAAAGACTTAATTAGTATTTTCCTTTTTGAACTTTAACTAATGTTAATTTCTAAGGTACCACTTTATTGGAATTACTTTGGTTTTGACTTTTACCCTTGCCTGCATGAATGACGAAAACGAATTGAATGATTGGAGGGTTTGGAGGCAACTCCCCCTTGCAAAGAAGATAATGTATTATAGTCTTCTCCTGCCTGCTCTAGATCATTCACATATGCATTTTTTTAGATTGTTTAATTTAATTTTAATTTATTAATTAGTAGATTTATTTTCATGGGTAGATTTACACTTGATTTGCTTATGCTTCTGAATTAAATGATCTTGTAGATTAGTTCGAGAATTAAATCTTTTACCATGTTTTGCATATTTTTTAATTATTTTGGCTTTTTTCCTTTTTTAGAATTTAAATTTGCTTTTTCTACTTTTTTTACTTTTAACGTATTTGTTTAGAATTAAATTTATTTAATTAATATGTATTTAAATTTAATTTTTTAATTAAACTCAATGTATCTTTTGAACAATATATATATATATATTTGTATGTTACCTTTATTTATTAAATATGTTCTTCTCACTTAAACCATAAAATTCAATTCAACAGCAATATCGCAAAGTAATTTTAAAATAAGCATATCTTTAGAATTTCCGATACGCAATTTTGCGCGCTAGAGATATTTTTTTTTTTTTTTTTTTTCGTACAGTGTTGGCATTGTTCGCTTTGAAATCGTTGAGTTTGTTAATCAAAAATTCGTTAAAGTGTTACAAAATATGAAATCGACAATAAAACAAATTCCAAATTAGGGCCTCCAGATGTCCATACTACCGTTGTTTTATCGCAGTGCGAGAAATATACATACATTTATGCAGATTCTTCATTATTTAATTTCATTGAATATGATACAGGCTCTAATATTTTTTGGCAACATTTTGAAAAGTGAATCAACTCAAAAAGTGAATCCACGTAAAATACATAAACGAAACCTCTGGGCAAACTGCCCCTTTGAATTAAAAAGAAAAATAGATGGTAACTTTTCTTGGAGTCCTGGGACATAATCAGAAATTCAAAGAGTACAATAATTTATTTAAATACCCTCAACATTATAGCCGGTTTTTATTTTAACTAGTATAAAACATCTCGGACTTCGTGGCTAAGATTAAGTGGAACTTAAATTTGAATGAATTTTTATTAAGTTGGTTTTAAAACTTAAGAGCAGCCCCCCTTTTTTTAAGTATATGCAACAAGAGAAATAATTAAGCAAAGAAAATACTTGCACTTTTGCATAAAACAAAATTAATGACTTATTTCTTCTCAATTAAAATCAAATTATTTTTATTCAGATATAATGCTAGAACTGATAATATAAGTAGTTTTAAAAATAATACATACTGCATTATCTTTTGTGCTACTTTAAATCATCGAAAAAATTAAAACAAATAAATTAACAACAAACATAATTTTATCCCGGTTGGTAAGAATAAGTGATGATTTTAATCATGATAATAGAATAGTGATAATTTTAATGCGGGATTTATGCAGAATTTTAATTTCTGCGTAACATCGGTAACAGAATTTATAAATTAATACTAACATACCTTGTAAAAAATGAGGGCATTTCCATCTCCTCTTTTAAGCACAAATGTCAGAGAAAATTTCTTTTGTTTTTGACTCATAATTTTAGGGTAAAGCAATAGTTGAAACTTTTTTTAAGTTTATTTACAGTAAAACATATTAAGGATGGATCAGCCTAATTTAGACAAAGAGGAGGATCTGGAAATGATAAAAGAGTCACGTGACTTTGGAGATTTGCTTAACAAATCGAACTATCAGAAGCTATTATCATTCTTTTGTCATATCCAGAATTGATATTCTTTATGACGTCACACTAGAAGTTGTTTTCCTCTGTGTCACAGGTACGGACTTCATGTTGAAAACAGTCTAGTTCATTTTATATTAGTGGGTTCACTTGATCCATTAATTTATTCTAAAAGTATGTTAATAATTATTTTATGCGAAAGAAGAAACGAAGATTTGCAGACTAGAGTCTTGTCAAGATATCAAATTACAACAAAATTCTAATTATTCAGATGGTTTTTTGTTCTTTTTAAAATCATATAAAATTCAGCTTGTTGCTAATTAATCAATATTTGTTTACTTTCTTCTTCTTATTTTCTTTTTTTATTTATCTTCTTTATTCAAGTATTTATTTTTTTTTTACTTTAATATCAAAAGAAGATAATGTATCATAGCCTATATTTCACCCAGAGCATATTTGGACTATAAACATGACTGATAGAAAAATAATGAGTTCTTATCATTAAGACAAAAACTTTGTACGTTTAAAAAAAAAATTATTAAATATTTAAGCAGTATTATGCACTTAGTATTAATGCTTGCATGATTTTTTTTTTTTTTTAATTTCCAGTTTCAGAATAGAAATATGCAGAATAACATACGGTAATAATGCAGTGCAACCAATAAGCGACAAACCTTGAATGAAAATGTTCTTTTTCTTTTCTTTTAGAAAATCAGGATTTAATCGTGTATTCATACAAATAAATAAACAATTCTATGCTTTACTTTTGCCGCAAATACTCCAAAGTTGAAAGAAAGGACTTTTTAAATGTGTAATTTTATATGTAATATTTTTTAAATGCATTCGTTTAAATAAAATTCAAATAAATAGGTGCATAATTAAAAATTAAGTTTCTTTATTCGTTTCTTATTTGTCTTACTCTAAATACATATCTGAAGCTGCGGGCCAGCAGGGTTGTACTATAGCTTTCGGCTTGTGTTCGAGAACATTCTGGGCTAAACCGGTAAGAATTTGTTCCTGAAGGTTCTCCAACCATCCATGGTATATCGCCAGTTTTGTAGCCAAATATCGCCAAATGTGGCAACCCTGCCTTTCCTTGCCATTTTATGGCAACCCTAAAACTACTTTGTGGGGAAGCCAATTTACCACGCCTGTGCATTTCGTAACACTGTCCCCTCCCAAGGACTGCACGTCCCGGGCAGTACAATCCCTGGTCAGCAGCCAAATTCGATACAATCCAAACGTTTTAAAAACATACAGATAACATAACTAAAAAAACAAACATTTACATTACATACAAACTTTACACAGAAACTAGGTAAGAAAACTCATGCGCAAGAATTATGGGTATCCCTAAAAATGAGAAGCAAATATTTACACTATGTACAAGTTATATACACAAATTAAACACATCACAAATTTCAAAGAATACAAATTAAAGTTCTGAATGAATTTCAGTCTCTGTCTTTCTATTAAAATATACCCGGGTCAAATACTTTTTCCACTGCAGTTCTCAGATATATTTATGTTTTGCATATCACAGTATGAAGATTCAGTTCTTTGAGACTTTTCATCCACAGAAAGATCTGGAAACTATTTGTTCACCACTCTGAAGTTTGTTCACATCGTGTGTACAGTTCACCTCGGCATTTTCAGCAGCTGGTACACGCACATTTTCCTCCGTTTCCTGAGAACCAGCTCCAAATTCTGCATCAGAGTCATGAACGCAAACCCGATACTTTACAAACGCAAGTATCCTGGTCTAAAATCAAGCTCAAGTCCTTGTCTGTAAAACCTGCAATGTGAGACGCACACATAGTTTGCAAAGTAGGTGAATTTTCTTGCAATACTGGAGCACACTGCTTAAGCTGCACATCAACTTCTGTCATCTCTACATCACATGCATTTTCAGATGGTTCAATACTCGCGAACTGCAACTTCATAACTTCACTATCAGTTTCGACGAACTTAACAATCGCATTTTCACTTTCTTCGACTGCAGGCGCTTGAGAATCAAAATCTTCTTTCCCGTCTTTTATTTCTTCATGTTTTCGTTCTTTTTCTTTAATCACGTTAGCTGTTTCATCCTTCATTCCTTGATCTTTCTCGGATAGTTCATTAGCTACTTCCTTCAATTCCTCATTCTTTGATTCTTCAGATGCCACTTCTCTCCTTTCTACACCGTCTTTTATGCCTCCAGTTTCTTCTGTAAGCTCCACTTTCAGCTGTTGGAGTTGCTCTCGCACATTTTCTTGGCCGCCATTTATCTCTTCTCGTCGGTCTTTCTTCTCCTCTAGTCCGGCTTTGATCTCAGCTGTCATCTCTTTATATCCAGCTTTTTTCTCTTTATATCCAGCTTTTATTTCCTCATATCCGGATTTTATCTCAGCATATCCGACTTCCATCTTTTCTTGGAATTCAGTAAAGGCAGTCACGAGCTGTCTTAATAGATCTTCCATTGGTCTTGTCATTGGCATTCACCCTCAAATCCCACTTCTGACACCAGTTGTGTGAATACGACGACACTTGATGAAGTTTGGAAACACACTTTACTTTCCAGTATTGTCCGAACAGTTCCAAAACACGTTTTACATTCGTCGATGAACTACTATAAACACACTGACAGGATCAGCGACACAGCCTTCCGGTTATCAGGCTATCACGGTAGAAACAGCTTCACTGCAAAGCACAAAAGTACAGCTTCCGATTCTGCTTGGTCGTTGTCGGAACTCCACGTACTCTCGAGACTCTCCACGCTAAAACTCGCGATGCAATCGAAGAGCACAGCTCCTGACTCTTCGGTTCAGTCGTTCCCGGAGCCCAACACGCTCTCTAGAATGCACTAACCGCGATACACTGCACGACTCTTTCGGTGCACTCGACGACCCCACTCAGCACTCGCTGCGCGGCTGTCAACTCGATCGACGCCGCAGGGATTGACTCGCTAGACGAGACACCAACTCGATACTCGCGCTCTCGAGGCACACACTAACTGACTGCGGGCCAGCAGGGTTTATATAGCTTTCGGCTTGTATTCGAGAACATTCTGGGGTAAACCGGTAAGAATTCGTTTCAGAAGGTTCTCCAACCGTCCATGATATACCACCAATTTTGTCACCAAATGGGCGATTTCTCGCCAAATGGTGCAACCTTAAAACTGTTTTGTGGGGAAGTTATCTTACCGCGCCTGTACATTTCGTAACAATATACAGTCAAAAGTCGTTAATCCGGACTCGTCGGGACTTCGGCGATTCCGGATTATCGATTTTTCCGGATTATAGATCATCAGTTTAAATCTCGTAAGATGGCATGCAGAAATTCTAAAATTAAAAATATGAAACCGTAATTTATGAAATAAAGAACAATTATGATCTAAAGGGTATCAAAATTTACAAAAAAAAAGCTTAATATTTATTTGTTTACTTTATTAAACATTTCTTTCAATGTAAGTTGTTTAAGTTGCTTCATTTTATGTGATAATACTTTCTCTTTAATTCTATAAACAGACATAATTTCTTGTTCAGTTACAAAGTTCCGCTGTTCAAGTCCCGTTAATTGCTGTGCCGAGAATACCGACTAACTTGTCAATCGAAATTTTTTCGTTTTCACTAACCTCTCTGTCACATTCTTCATGTCTTTATCCATTTTTTTGCAGCAATTCCACTTTTTGTTTGTTGGACATCGAAACATACTTTCGTTTTGTAGATCCTTTGGAAGTTCCAGCATCGGAAATTTTATTTGACATAATCGAAAGTTCAAGTTTACTTTTATAAAATTGCTCTTACAGTCTGCAAAAAATAATAAGCCGGATCCAATTCGAAGATTAAGGAACAACGCAATCATTAACATTAACTGAAATAGATAATTAGATAATTTTAGCTTACACCGTCCGCTGTATATTAAACGCGCAGGCGAAAACGTATTCTGCCCTTGCCCACACGCATATGCGCAATAGTCAAGGTCTTACGCGCACGCGTTAAACGCCTGTGCGCATGTGCCAACGCGGCGCATGCGCAGAAAGTTTTTAGCTTTGGGGTTCGGATTATAGATCATTCCGGATTATGGGTGTCCGAATTAACGACTTTTGACTGTATATGAATAAATACAACGTAAAATGCAGCTAAAAACCAGTTGTGCGCTAAAATCAGCAAAATGTAGTGGAAATCCTGTCAAATAAATTAAAGTAAATAATACCTTTAAAATTCATCCCATATTCAATTCAGAATACAAACAGGTGGGGGGGGGGAAAAGAAGATAATGGTAAACTGTAAGAAAAAAGGGGCAGGGAAAGAACATGCCAAACCAAAAATGAAATAAGATATTTACATCTTTCGCTACATCTTGTTCAGTGGGTAGGGGCAACGAAAGAAGTAAACAAATTAGCCTGTTTCTGAATTGCTTTATCGATTCAGAAAAAAGCTAATTTGTTTAAAGCTTAAAAATCTAATAAAAATAGTTTTCCGTTTAATTGAACTGAGTCTAAAATGCATGTAAACAGGAGCAATCCAACATATGAAAAAAATAATAAATGAAAATTTGATCTAAAATATAAAAAGAATTAGTCCTTAAATCTGTAACATTACAGAAAGGAAAGTTTTGAAGTGAAAAAATATATTCGAACTTTTTACCAGCAAAATACGGTTGCTAAGCCTAAAATGTGCTAAGTAATGAATTTAAATAAAATCTAGTAAGACCTTTCAGCTTCAAAACGGTTAAAATAATTAATTGGAAATCTAATATCTCCAGGAATATCATTGCTACACTATAATTAATCAAACAAAAAGAATCAAAAGCATTTGTAACAACAGCAATGATTTTAAAAACAGTTTCGTTTGTTAATTAAAATATTAAAAGATGAATTTTTTTCACAAAATTTCATCAAAACACCTCCAGCTAAACTACACTTAACAATCTCAGTGTCGTCACCAACCTAGCTTCGTGATTGGCTAT